TCCCGTTTACGAGATTTTCACCTTTTATAACCCAATGATAATACTAAAATAATGACTATCCATAACTTTGATCATGCTATCTGCAAAATTGAGCATTTCACTATTGGTTCTCATCTTAAAACATAATTATCGCACTGCACCGCTGCTCTTTTCCCTCACTTCTGTTTGCCATTTCCAGCAGCCTCACGAACATTTTTGCAAACGGCTAATCCGAAATTTGTTCTGGCTAAGCTTCCACCAAACCCTGTTTATCAAGATCACAAGTCTGTTAATCATTATTCGATTATCATCATTATGACGATAAAAATGAGTTGCTAGACTTGTCAAGATGATGTTGTGAAGAGATTCCGAAAGAATGCAAATCTCATCATCAAATAATAATTTACTGATTGCAGATTTAAAGAACCTGATAAACAAATTTTCAAAACTGAAAAACAATGGTACACAACTATTTGAAAGTGATTTCACTTTCCCTCATAATATTTATCCTCAATTGTGATTATCCAGTGAATGGAGTTGCTGATAAAAATGATTATGCAAAAATTCTATGTGAGTTACTGAAATTAATTGTTTGTTTGAACAATGCTAATGGGAAGTTCACGATTGATTTCAAATGTTTTTAGATGATTACTGCTTTATTGGCAAGTTAGTTGATTGGATTATATAGTGAGCTGCTGAGAGAAGAAGAGAATGAAAATGGAGTAAGAGTTTGAGAAACGAGAGAATTATAGAATGATAACATTATTTAGTATTGATGGAAATAAAAATAAGAATAATTTAAATTAGAATAGTAATAATTATAATTACTTTCAGCAGTAAGTGCGATATGTTCATCAGACGGTATTATGGCACATATAGAATTCGATCGCATATTCTACGGAAGAATCTATTCGTTTAACTATTCAGCAGTAAATCAGTGCAATTACTATACCAAAAATAACACTAATGATATATACAATATTAATAGTAATAACAACAATAGCAATAATATGAATAGTAATGGTAATAATATGGATAATGAGAAAAATTCAGAACTGCGTTCAATTCTCTTTAAAATACCAATAAATGACTGTGGCACTCGAATATCTCGTAATACAAGAAATGTCAGTTGATTTTATATTTAATAATATTTATTTTAACGATAAAAATAATAATAATGCGGTTAAATACAATACTAAACATTAGGATAATATAATAACCATAATCATAATAGTAACAAATTGAAGGTGATTGATCTCATCGAGAACAAGGTATACATTCAGATGGATCATCAATCTCAAACTCCCTTTGACCGTCAGTATTCATTTATGTGCCAACTAACTGTTGATAACCATAACCGTAACCATTACCACAATAATAATGAATATGATAAATATAATAATAATAAACATAACATTAATAATCACAACAATAATAACAATAATAATATCAATAAGCCTATCATTCCAATTCAACAAACTTCATGGCACCATCAGAACTATCATCAACTTATCAAAATTGTGAGATTCATTATTATCATTTTTATTATAAATATATTATCAGTATCATTAATATTATTACTATTATTATTATCATTACCATTATCAATATTCTCATTGTGACTAATATTATTATCACTTTCATTATCTTTACTATTACAAGCATTACAGGTACCAGAACCAGCTTCAAAACCACCAGAAGATCACCCGATACCCATAATTCCATCTTCGCAGCACCCACTCAACTCATTCCTATTCCAACAACATGCCTCAAACAAGCATGAGCACATCAATAAATATACTAATCATCTACCATTATCCAACCCATTCGAAACTAACTGGGGTAATTGGCCGATACGGTCACCGATTCCAAACCCCAACAGTGAGCAAACTCAAAAATTTGGCGATCAGCTGATGAAAATTGTAAGAAGTATTTTTATTAATCAATATTATTACTAACATTATCATGATTAGATGATTAGATACAAGCCAAAGCATAGCATGGCTCAGGCTCACAACATCAATGATATTGGTATAGCACTCGCTTTCGAGCGAAAATTTCCTCCATGAAGGGGAAGACTTTCGATTCCC